ACCGGACATCCTGTTGCGGTGTTTTGGTCTGTGTTGAACATGTAGCCGACGTGAGCCTTCTGCCCTCGCTTGAGTTAGGCTTCATGGCCAAGTCAAAACCGCTTCTGATTTACATCTCGTTTTTTCAGTGGATAAATATTCATGAGGCGACATCAGATAGCCACAGATGTCCGACATGCATGCAACTATGCGTCCTGAACCATGACACTGACTCCGCTGCGCACGCCCACTCATACACATCCATCACTGGACTCTTTCTAGGCCCAAAGTGTCAACGTGTGCTGGCGGCTCTGGCCCATGTATTCCTCCTCCAGTACCCCGCAAACCTTCAGCGCCTGTCTCCGTCATCGACAATGCCCCCTACCATCATCCCACAAAATAAGGTAGAAGTCAACGGCACAGGTTATCCAAAGACTTGTCATTTGGGATCCTCGGTACTTTCCGCCGGCCTCACTGAGGAATTCATTCGTTTGACAAGGATTGGAGGGCTTGCTCTAGTCCTCTTTGCGCTGCTATAATAACGTAGATTTATGGTCCCAAAGTCAAACCCCTCTCCGTGGACGTTAACATATATGTTTTATTCGTTGGTAGTCGTACGGCAATATTGATTATGCATTATATGGATGGTGATCATATCGGATATGGTGTAACGGCTAACATTGCCGCCTCTCATACATGTGCGCGGCAGCTCGGGGTTCGATTCCCCGTATCCGAATCTTTTTCTACATACATATACAACACCGTGAAACCACACCAGAGCTCATCTACCATTTGTCAATATTTCACTCTAAGTCGCTACGAGTCAAGTCCTATTACAATAGATTCGGTGTCAAAGGGATGGCGGAGTTGGAAAGCTGTTGAACGAGGCTGCGTGCCGCTGCTTCGTAAGTCGCTTCCTCACCTTCTAGTAGCTTCGTTTCAAGTGGCAGGACCGTGTCAATACTGCGAGGACGTCCTCGACCTCAGTATCAGAAAAGGGACATTATTTCCAGAAGCATTTGACACCTCTCACTCAAGACATTCTGAGCGGCATGAAATAGCGGTCGAATCCGATATCTTACACCAGTCACTGAAAACGAAATGCACTCTGTCTCTAGTCTCCAATTGGTTCACGACGTCGTGGAACGGTCTCTTTACGAAATCGTGATCATACGGCAAGGCATCCATCCCGACATCCCTCCATTCTGCAGAAGCTCAGAACCACCCGAGTGGGATTAATATGTGTCGTCGTCTTGATATCTGTCATGGCCAAGGACTCTCTGGGGCATTTCCTTGACTTAAAATGACCACTTCCCTCGACCTGGAAGAGTACCAGCATCGTCGGACGCGCTGTGGATGCTCTCACACGCGCTTCTGAGATATCTGTAGCTCTTATCAGTGTTTTTGCCAATGATCTGGGAGCTGGCCCGAATCGCTCTCGTCCCCTATATTGACTATATGTTTGGACGCCGAAAACGGAACTATCTGCCGCGGATATATGGAGGATTCTTCCGTACAAGGCTTTTGCCAACCTGCGTTCGTTTGAATTGATTACTCCGAAATATAAAATTCCCATGAGTCCAAGCTATGGGATCGGCACTCTGCAACTCTTCGGCAAGGATGCTCGGCTCGAGCAGCTAAAGATTTGCATGCTTACCCCACACGGTTCTTCGCTTCGATTTTCCGTGGAGCAATCTGACTTCATTTATCATGACCAGCGTATATGATCTGGATGAATATTCACTGTCGAGTTGGCGCCAACTTGAGATTCGATCTTTTCCCCTCAATTCCCGCCTCCGACATTTATCTCTGGGAACTCCAGGGAACTTCTTATGCTTTGGTTTCTCCTTGAAGCCTCCGTGGCATCAACTCACTAAGCTCGATGTTCCATGTGATTCGGAAGATGACATATAGACAAGACATAATGAAGATCTTGCATAAATGCACTCCTCTTGGTCACCTTGGTGTTATGAGATGCTGTGCCCTGCAGAGAGATTCTGGGAACTCGATCAAATCAATGCATGTTTTCCTTACTTTCGGCAGGACTATGCCCAAACACATGGTATATTCACCTTATTTTTTAATCGACGTTCGCATCATTCACCTGGATATGGAGTGCGTGCGGGGTCAGGATTTACTACTTGACAAGTGCGGTGTTATTATGATGCAGTGCCCTCGCCTTGAATGGTTTTCGTGATGTATAATAGATGGAGCGCACAGCACGCCGCCGCCGACGCGCTCATTTTAATCATTCACAACAACCTCGTCTTCCCTCGTCTTGAGACACACGCCCTCACTGAGTAATCTATTCTGGAGAAGCGTGACATGGACTACGTTGTGCCCATTTACGAGTTGATCGAACGCTCGAAATGCATAATCTTCTTCACGTTTAATCTGGAGCGCTATAGTTCGGTGTGAGACTCTCCTTTGCTATAGGAGTTTTTCTATCCTCCAGATATTCAAATCCATCTATCCGGTGTAAAGAGGCTTCTCAGCGGCCTCGAGTCCTGCCTGTTGTTCGACGCGGAATTCTTGTCCCCAACGATGTTCTCGCTGGCGTTGCTTATGGAATTCTCCTCCCTCGTGTATTTTAACTACACATACGCTTGGTGGGCTTTTAAACCTGGTCAAACGAAGGCAATAATAGTCTCAGAGGATCGTATTTCTGCAACCGAGTTTGTTCATTTGTCCATTAAAATTCAAATAAGTCTTTTGTTGGGATGTTTCTATAAATTTTTGATCCATCACAATGGTTCTACGATGCCACTCTGGACCAATCTGCGCAAGCGAAAGAGAATTGCTCTTGGTCGCATCTTACAGGCACTCTCCCCCATCTCAATGCACTGCACCTACAGGGTCTTCAAAAAACGAGCCAATCCACTCTGTCTCTCCAATACCGGCGGCAACGATAAGGGCCTACTCACCAAGGACTTCAACCACTTTGATGTGTGTAACACTTGCAAATCTATCACTTTACGGTGATTATGCTTCATACAGCGACACCCTCGAACTATTGCCCCACCTGCCACACTTATCATTGCGCTTCAATGTCCAAAAGCTCTCAAACTTTCAAGCGCGATCGGCATAGGGCCGCCCTAACGATGTTTTGGATGCTAAAGAGGATGGGATACTGCCGGAGTTGCGCATGATCGAGATAACTAGACGTGAACGATCTCGAAAACGTAGACTTGTTACCCTTCCGAAGGAGAGAAAGCCTGGGGGTTGCTCTGAAAGTGACTGTTTCGCTCCCGGTGGGACCATCTTTATTCCGTTTGATGATTGATCACTCCCACTGAGCTCCTTTCGTGCGTACTTCACGGTCGACGAACATGATGTGGCGTTCTAAGTTTGGGCACAGATATTAACGCGCAAACGAGGCGTTTGAACAAACAGCTTTCTCTAGTTCGTGGCCTGGCTCGTATTTTTACCACCTCTCCCTTCAACAAACAAGTTACAAATCAATCAATTCCCCTCATCTTTTTTGAAATCAAACGCTCGTGTTGTCCGTGAGGCGGTGTACATATGTTCTTACCGGTGTGCCTAGACCCCAAATGGACGACGTCGTGCCAATACAGCAATGCAAAAAAAAATGATAAGATAACGGTGTTCCCCAAGAATTACACTCAAAATCTGCTTTGCAATTTACCACGAACCTATATATCCGTCAGCGCTTCAGCCCTGTATCCAATCAAATGCGTCCGGTTGCTATACAGTATACAGTTGTGAGCGG